GGGTATTTACTTAACAAGGAAGAGTCCACCTATTTCATAATATAGCTTGTTTTTTTAATTTGGAATGGTGGTTTTTAAAAAAAATACATATTTGGATTATAAGAGTCTCTCGGGAGGCAGGAGGAACAGGGCAAGGCACTTGGGAGATTTGATAAAATGTTTTAAGTTGTTGACTGCAACAATCATGATCGGATATGTAAAGCCCCACCTAATTCACAATTAAAGAAATCAGAAGGAATTCCCTGGGTAATTCTAATTCACAGCCAGGTTTGCCAACTATTTTTCCTCCTACTCGTGGGATGTGGATGACGTCTTGCCTCTTCCAAGGAAGTCATCTCCCACTGTCTCTCTGAGCCAGGAGGTCCTGAGATGCTGGGGCAGCGTCTATCAGATCCACTTACTGCTATTGCGATGTTTCTGCTAGATTTCCAACCGCAATAGCTACTTTTTCTTTGGAGTGTTTAGAAGGAGGGGAGGGTACTTGTCACTTACCTCCCTCCTCATAAGGAGCCTGGGTGGTGTAGTGGTTACTTGTTGGACTGCGAGCCGCAGGGTCAGCAGTTCAAAACCACCAGCCTTTCTGAGGGAGAGAGACAGGACTTTCTACTCCCATAAAGCATCCCAGTCTCAGGACCCCACGGGGGCAGTTCTACTCTGTTCCACGGGGTCCTGAAGAGGCAGCATCGACTTCATGGCAGCGTTTGGTTGTATGTTTGTCCCTCCTCATGCCCTGCTTTTGTCGGACCCTGCCTCTCCCCTCTCTCTCCTCTTACCCTCCTTGATGTAACAAGGCAATATGGTGGTAGCAGGACGTGTTCGGAGCTTAAAGGCCTGGGTTCAAGTCCCAATCCCATCGACTCTCTAGATAACCTTGCACAGGCTCATTCTCCCTTGGGGTTTTTCCCATTCCCACCTTCCCAGTGAGGGTCTTGGCCATTTTGAGTCCCCCACGAGACACTTTGGGGCCACTCCTCCAGCGAGATGCTGCTTGGGAACTGGCTTGGTTCCATCGACTATTTTCTCAAGGGTTCCCTGTGGGACTAATGTCCACAGAAGGCTCTTTGGGAAATGCTCCCCCGACCGCGCTCTCGGGGGGATGAGGTTGGAGCAGGGCACTGAATGCCAGGCTTCTTGACTCACCTGATCTTCCCAGGCTAACTGAGAGGGGAGTGAAATTCTTCCAGCGGAAGGTGGAGTCTTTTGAGGAGGTGAGCTTTGGGGACGAAAGGGGATGGAGGTGGGGGGGCGGGGAGAAGAAGGGGGGAGATGGTGACTTCTTTGAGGCTCCCCTTTAGGACCGGCCCCAAGCTCTGTGGCTTTTCACAACCCCAAGAGCACGCAGGAGGTCTCTCCCCCAGTGCTGGGGTGGGAGAGAAGTGACAGGGGATCATGGTGGCCATTTGGGGTTAATTGACATCCGAACTTCCGTGAGTTTTAGGGAAGGAGACCCAGCCACCTCTTCCCAATGACAGCTGCACCTCTGTCCCCATGCTCCAGACATTTGCTTGCTTCCTGCGGATGCCAATGTTATTTCTGTACCTGGGGAGGACAGGTTCCCGCAGAACTTCCAGACTAAGAGACTTGGAAGAAAGGCCTGGTGAAAATTCCGAAAATTAGCCAGTAAAAAGCTTATGATCAGGCACTACCTGCCTTGATTCACAGTCAAGGCCACAGAGGTTCAGAGAATTGAGGATTTTCTGAGGTCTCACATTGGGTGACTGGTGAGGCACCTCTTTGGAACCAAGTCTGGAGAGGATTCCTCATGCATGGGGACAGAAAGCCATGAGGTGGGGGGGGGGGTAGCGAGGGGCACCCCTCTACCCTCCTTCACCCCTGCCTATCTTGCCTGTCCTGTTCACTGATGCTAGGTGGCACGAGGCGGTGCAGATGTGATTGTCAACTGCACCGGGGTCTGGGCTGGGGCGCTGCAACCAGACTCCCTCCTGCAGCCAGGCCGGGGCCAGATCATCAAGGTGAGTCTGAGCAGGCAGGGGCCTCAGTGGCGCAGTGGTTATGTGTTGGGCTGCACATTGCAAGGCCAGCGGTTCAAAACCACCAGCTGCTCTGCAGGAGAACAGTGGGGCTTTCTACTCCTGTAAAGAGTGACAGGGTCGCTGTGAGTGGGAATCTACTCCAGGGCTGCGAGTTTGGTTTTTGGTTCGAGGTGGGAGGGGAGAGGGCTGCGCGGATCGCTGCTTCCTGCTTATGTCATCTCCAGAGGTAGCAGCTGAGTGGGGAGCCTCAATGAGAGGACCCCCCTCCCCGCACCTCCTGGGTGCTGACATGTTAAAGAGACAGCATGTGCCAGCCTACCAGGCCTCAGCATCCTCTTGCGGGTTCTTCTGAATTGCAAACCCCGTGTGTCTCCATCTGTCTCTCCGTGGGAGCTGCGTGTAGCCGTGCTACAGAAAAAGTGGCAAACGTCTATGCACATTGTTGTGCTGATTAATCTAAGCCTTGCCCCAGCTTTTGGAGATGGGCACTATTTTTTAATCACCACTAATGCACAGATGGAGAAACTGAGGCACCGAGGAGTTAGGTCACTTGCACAAGCTCAAAGAGCAGGAAGGAGGAGGATGGGGAGTGGATCCCAGGCCAGTTGGTTGAAGAGCCTGTGTGGGTAACCATCATCCCACACAGCCTCGCCTGGCAGTGTGCACACGTGTGTGAGTACAAGCATGTGTGTGTCTGTGTGGGACCGTGTGCATTCATGTGTGTGCATTCATGCAAGTGTGCATGTCCTAGACGAGGGTACATCTGTGTATTCATAGGTGCCTGAGGGTATTCACAGATGTGTCATGTACATGAATAGAGGTGCAGGTCCTTACGTGAGCTTTGTATGTGTACACTATGTGCTGGTGTAGAGGTGTGCGTATGTATGTGCATACGTAGGTACACATGGTGTATGTATGGATCTGTGCATGTGTGCATTCACAGGTGTGCATGTGCGTATGCATGTGTGCATTTGTGAGGGCACACGTGCATGTGCTCAAAGATGTACATGTGGTGTGTATGTGCATACATTAGTGTATGCATGTGCACTCTAGATGTGTGTGCATGTGTGTGCTGGTGGGTGGGCTTGCTCTGGATGTGGACAAAAGTTTGTGTGTGTATGCAGGTGGGGGAGACCGTGTGCTGCCCCAGGGAGCTGGGGTGATTTCTTAATCAAAGTGGCTCTTCCTGAAAAAGATAGGCAGGTGCAGATTAGGGGCAGACGGGAGGCCCCACAGGGGCTAACGGGTCCAGCCTGGCCACTAGTCTTGGACCAGTGGTCATTGAGAGGAGTCGGGGCAGAAGGAGCCTGCTGGTGCAGCTCCCTCAGTAACAATTCTCTGTCCTGAATCAACAGGTCAATTGCCCTCAAATGAAGCATTTCATTCTCACTCACGACCCAGATGTTGGTATTTACAAGTCCCCGTACATCATCCCAGGGTAAGGAGGCGACTGTCCTGGAGGAGAAGAAGGGGCACCTTCCTGTCTCTGATGCTCTACCCAGGACCCTTGCCTGGTCCCTTTGGTCTTTTCCTCCCATGAGGTTTTGAGTTTGGGCCATGGAATTCCATGGAGGGCAGAGCGGAGCCTCGTTCAGGCTCAACCTTGAAAATGCATTTGGATCCAGTACTGGTGATGTTGGAGCCAGCAGTCAGGATGGGAATGCAGTGGTGCTGGAAGTGATGGGACTCTCAGCAATGGGAGGGGCAGTGGACATGGGGGTGGGGTTGATGGTGGAGATCATTTAATAGTCGATGCTGGCGGTGTGGGTGGGAGGACAATATTATTGGTAGTAGAACAGTAGGATTGTTACTGATCCAGAAGGCAATATGGATGAAGGAGAGGGCAAAGGGATGACGTTCGCCGTGGTGGTGAGTTGGTGTTGTTAATGAGATCAGTGTTGATGATGGTGGTGATTGGGAGTAGGTGGTGTTGATGGAGATGTTAATAGTGTAGGAGAGAGGACAGTCTCAAAACTCAGACAAAACTCATTGCCACAGAGTTGGTTTCGACCCATAGTGACCCTATAGGTCAGGGTAGAACCGCCCTGTTGGTATTAGAGTCTGTAACTCTTTATGAGTAGAAAGCCTCATCTTTCTCCTGAGAAGCAACAGGTGGTTTGAACTGCTGACCTTGAAGTTAGCAACACACTGTGTAACTACTATGCAACCAGGGCTCCTGATAGCCTAAAGGTAATGTTAATGGTGGGGTGGGGGTGAAACTCTTGTTGGCCATGTGGATGATGGTGTGGAGATGGTAGCCAAGACAGTAAGTAGTACTAAAGGTAGTGAAGGCAGTCAAGAGAAGATGTTGCTAACAGAGATGAACTATCGATGGTGACATTAGCAGTGACAGTAGATGGGGGTTGATGGTGACGGTGATGACAATGACAATTGCAATGGTGGTGATACTGTTGCTGTAGAAACAAAAATGTTGACAGTAGCGGGGATTGGGGAGAAATGGTTATCAAGGTGAACATGGTCATGACCCTTAATTCATCTCCAAGGCGTCATTTCCCTCCGTCACTGACGCTCCTCACTTTATCCAGGATCCAGGCGGTGACTCTTGGAGGCATCTTCCAGCTGGGCAACTGGAGTGAGATAAACAATACACAGGACCACAAGACCATCTGGGAAGGGTGCTGCAGACTGGCGCCCACGCTGAAGGTATGGTGGGCTGTGGGATCAGTCAATGTCTTAGACAAGGGTCCCAGCTGCTTGGTCACGAGGACACTTAAGAGTGGGATAATTGGGTGGTGAGGAGGGTGTAGGAGGCCTGGTCGGGCGTGATCAAGGGTAATGTAACCGAGAGGAATTACTGAAACCCAGATGAAGGCTGAGCATGAGAATGGGACAAGAGGAAAGTCAAGGGAAATAGAGGAAAGAGCTAGGAGGCAAAGGGCATTTAGAGAGGTCTAAGTAAAGGCATGTACATATGTAAATATATATAAAAAAAGAATGGGATAATTGGGCGAATCAATTCTAGCAAAGGAACATGGGTCGAGGAAGCCTACTGGCCATGGCTAAGCGTGCTCTTTCCCGAGCTGCCTTCCCAGAAGCACCTTAGTCTGTTTTCATGAGTTGTATTTGTTGCAAAAAAAACCACTCAGTTGGCACAGGTGCCTCCAGTGGCAGTGATGACAGCAACGGTGATGGTGGGGTGGGGGTGGGGCTGGAAAGAGTGGTTGGTGTTGATGGCGATGAAAACGTTTGAGGCTGGAGACGATGGGGGCGATGGGGGGTGGTGGCTGAAGATGGAGACGTGGGTAGAATTCGTGGGGGTGGCGATACTGACGGTGGTGATTCGAGCAGTGGATAAAGGTGGTGATCATGGTAGGGGTGATCAAGAATGTGACTGGGATGATGTTGGTGTTGGTGATGATGGTGTAAACTTCTGCCATCTACAGTTAGCAGCTGTAGAAGAAGAAAAATCCAGAGATGGGTTACTAACACTTCCCACCCACCCTCAGGATGCGAAAATTGTTGGTGAATGCACTGGTTTCCGGCCAGTCCGCCCCCAGATTCGTCTAGAAAGAGAACAGCTTCACTTTGGACCTTCAAAGGTAGAGGTATGTCTTCCTGGTAAAGGACACGATGTCCCCCACCCACAATAAGACAGTCTAATGTTTCCAGAGAACCACCATATCTGACTTCAGGCTTCAACAGCTTGAAGGAGTGCAGGCTAATAACCCCCCCTTAGAGGCTACAATCATGGCAAGAAATGATGTAGCTCAAGGCCCTATAGAGAGCCTGTGGTTTGCCTGTGGTTGAGTGCAAGGGCAATGGGCACATACAGAGAACTTACTTTGTCCCAGACTTCCTGGCAAGCCCATGCCATGAATGACCTCATCGAATCTTCCCTACAGCTCTGTGCAAGAGGGATTTTTCTCCCCAGGCTTCAGATGAGGAAATGGGGGCTCCAAGGGGTGAAGTCACCAGCCTAAGTCAGACCACCTCTGAGAAGCAGGGCTGGGCAGTGTTTGGAACCTTGCTTCAGCTAGGTGCCCTGGTGGTGTAGTGGTTATGCATCGGGCTACTAAGTAAGAGGTCTGCAGTTTGAAACCACCAACCACTCCCCAGGAGAGAGATGAGGCTTTCTACTCCTGTAAAGAGTTAAAGTCTAGGAAACCCACATGGGCAGTTCTACTCTGTCCCATAGAGTCTCCATGAGTTGCAATCAACTCAATGGCAGTGAGTTTGGTTTAGAGCTTCTAGTAACTCCAGAGCCAGTTCCTTGCTATTTAATTTTGAAGTACCCCATCATCTCTCTGGGGGTTCCCATTCATATTCCACTCAGGGGTTAAGAACCAGGCTTGTTGAAATCCTGGGGGGTATCCTGGGCTGAAGGAACTGTCCTAATTAGGTGGTGGCTGGGTTTCTACTAGGAAAGCAATCCTCCCTACTACATCATTCGCTTGCTCTCTCTCTCTCTCTCTCTCTCTCTCTCTCTCTCTCTCTCTCTCTCTCGTGTGTGTGTGTGTGTGTGTGTGTGTGTGTGTGTGTAGGGCTCAGGAGCTGAGGTCCCTGCTGATGGATTTAGCTTCAGAAAAGACACCCCCCCCAGAATAAATTAGTGCATCCACCACATTCCCCACGTGTGGCCCCCCATGGCTCCTCTTCCTCTCTAAACAAGAGTCTCTGTAGTAACTGGGAACAGCCAACAGTCCAGAGCAGGGCAGGAGCAAGGACGGGGACTTAGGGAGCTGCCCACAACGTGCAGGGGAGAATCTCTGACCTGAGTTCTCAATGTGATTCTGTTCCTCCAGGGCTGACTGTTCATCTTTCTGGTCTCCACCTTCCTGAACAATCCCCCTCCCAGGGTTTCAGGGGCTCCCACCATCTCACCAGGCTGCTGAGAGAAGTCCCAGGGGGTGTCTGGCCCTGTCCAGAATCCTTCAGGAAGCTCCCGAGCCTACCAGAACATCATAGTTTCTTCTGCCCCTTCTCACTGTCCCTCAGTGACCCAGCCATGTCCTCTCTTGCCATTTCTAGGTCATTCACAACTACGGCCATGGAGGCTACGGGCTCACCATCCACTGGGGCTGTGCGCTGGAGGCAGCCAAGCTTTGGGGGGAAATCTTGGAAGAAAGGAAGTTGTCCAGGAGGCCCCCATCCCACCTCTGAAGACTCCAGAGACTACCACCTCCACAAGGATCCCACCCCCCTCAACCAGCTAATCAAGTGCTCCTCTCTACACTGCTGCTTAACTCCCGCCCCGCGCCAACCTTGACTTCTTGTCATAAGACGTTTGAGACGAGGGGAAACTGAAGTCAATTCGCAAGAGTCCAGCCTGACCGGTTCCTTGCATGCACTCCACCCTCTCTAGAATGTCCTACACCCAGCCCAGGCCTGCCATGATGAAGACCACCTGGGGGCTATTATTCCCCACGACTGCAGAAGGAAGGAGCGCTCAGGAGATCAAAGCGGCAAGCTGCCCAGGGCCACAGAACACTGGGGGCAGATGAGGCTAAGCCACTTGGTTCCAAGCCCCCCTCCCCCATGAGAGGTTCTGGAAAGTTCTGCAGCAAAGACATCGGTTCAGAGGGCTTCCTCAACCTGTCTGGCCACCGAGACCTTTTTCCAAGCCCCCTAATGAGTGCCACAAAACACCCTTTAGGAAAGGCTGACGCAGATTCTGTTGTAGGAAGCAACTTTTGTAGAACTGGAGTGTGGGGCCAGTGGGTGAGGCAGTGCACTAACATATTGCCTGTTCCATGTCCAGAATTCTAGCGGGTCCCAGCTGTTCCAAGGATGGCCCCGCGGATACCACACAAACCTTGAGGAAGACCCTTTTCACAGAGACGGAAACTCGCCAAGCACCTACCCTGTTTTTTTGGCGGGGGGCAGGTTTTTTTTTAACTCCATATTGCACCACAAAGCTTTACTTTGTCTTCCCAAGCTGCTTCTGCAAAGTTTCTGTTTGGCTCTTGCTTCATCGTTTGCGTTAGCTACTCTATTGTTCCAGAGCGAGTTTCAGTCCCTTCTGATGCCCACTTTGGCCTCTTCTTTCTTTGCTGGGCTTTGTTTTAATGGTTGGAGATGTGGGGGTTGATTGTGGTCCTTTTTGGGGGGATGTGTGTGTTGTATAGCTATACATAGCCCCCTGAGCATCCCCTCAGCTGCGTCCCAAAGGTTTGAGTATGTTGTGTGTTTTCATCCTCACGTGGTTCGACACATTTTTATTTCATTAGGTTCTCTGTCTCCCAGGTGTCTTTTGAGGTCAACTTGACAATTTCTGCCCCCCCACCCCCAAAAAGTCACACGAGATTTTGATGGGGATTCGTGGTGAATCTATAGTGAATTTGGGAAGCATCAATCGCTTTAACAATTTTAAAGATGCTGATCCGTAAACACAAAGTCTCTCTCAATTTCTAAAACTTACTTTCAGCACGCTTTTTGTATGTTGGTTTCCAGCGTGTGACGCCTTGCACTTTTGTTGCATTTGTTCCTGTGTGTGTCCTTCTGGGTGCCGCTGTTGTGAATGGAGTTGGGTTAGGGATGGGCTTCGATGGGAGGAGAGGGGTCTGAAGAGGGCTCTCCAATGTGTTCAGTTGGTTCGGACTCCAAGCCTCTTATGCACAAAAGGAGGAAACGCTGCCCAGGCCTGCACCATCCTCACAATCGTTCACTGTGTTGTTGACTGCTCTCTTGACTGCTGCTTCTGTGAGCACTGACTGGGGATCCAAGCAAGAGGAAATCCTTGGCAACTTTAACAGCAGGCACGCGAGGTGACTGAAAATGCCCTGGCTTGGATCCGGCTCACTTTAATCCTCCAAGGGACGTCTGTGTCTTTCAAACATTGTAAAGAGTTCTTTTGCAGAAGATTTGCCCAAATCAACATGCCACTTGATTTCTTGACCGCTGCCATTCATCAAGTAGTTTTGATTGAGAATGGTCACAATGTGATGGGCATGGATGTTCAAATATCAAAGAATCTGAATCCAGTAAAGTGCCACAAAGGAACCAAAGCTGACAGAAACCACTGAATCTCTGAGGAGTCAGGAGGTGTCCCAGCGTCAGGATTGCCACCCTGTGCATGCCCGCAATACTCCCTGCATCCCTCCATTGGTACCCGGGTCGCACTGCATCGCAATGACCCGTGTATACCTGCCTTCTCTCCTGCAAGTGCATGGGTGGGAGGGACGTGCCAAGTTCCCTTCATCCCCAGTCTGGAATATCATGCACAGGATGAACACTCCATGCATTAACACTTGCCAAGGGATGGCTTGGAATGATGAGCACACTCCAGAGTGTACGGGGATGTTGCTGTGAGTTCCACGTACTATGCCACCTGCCGAAAGGGTGTTTAAGCTGCCATGTTTGTCCTTTTGACCTCCACTCTCCCATCCCCAACTTATTTGGACCAGGATTGGAACCAACAGCAAATGAGGCCACTCAGAGTCCTGGGCTGAGCATCTGGGGATGGGACACTAAACAGCTCCAGGTGGTCTGTTAGTAAAGCTGAGTTAGAAGGTCTAGGATCCAGGAGGAGCCTAAGCCATCTATGTGGTTGTGAGAAAGGAGTAGCCAAGAGGAGCCAATGGAAACCAGTCAGCAGAGAGGGGTAGGAATGAGGGTTGGAGAAAGGATGCTATCTCAGGCCCTGCTGGCGCCCCAGTTCCCTGTTCTACTCTGGAAAGCCAGGCTGGGCTTTGTTTCCACGCGGTCTCTAAATCTTTCAGAGACTGCTTGTTGCTTGCCTCCCAGCCACCAATCCTGACTGCAAGTGCATTTTATTTGGCTCCCACACCACTTAAACACCTGATTGATCCAACACACTAAAAAGTGGAGGCTTGGGTCTGGACCCACAGGACAAGGAAACCAGTCAGAGCTGTGTAGTGACCACCTCCTTTGGATGGAGGCCTTTGTTCCTCCTCAGCATTGACCTCTTCTCTTCCGGGAGCTTCCTATACCTTCCCTGCTTCATTCATGTACATCTCCCAGCTGTCGCCTGTAGGAAAGTAACCGCTGATCCCAATCATATAATAAACGCTTCTGAAATTAGAGAGCCGACCTGAACAAAATGTCTGTTTCTTGCAACCTAACTAACCACTACCACAACTTGGTGGCTTCCACATCCATGGCACAGCTTTATTTCTAGACTCTGAATTCTAATCTAATGGATCTGTAGGTCTCAGAGATTTCAACCACGGTCCGTCCATCCAACCACCATTCTTCTTTCTTCTGTCCCAACAGGATCCCGGTTTATGTTCCAGAGGCTGGTGGGCATCCCTTGGTGCTATGGGGAGGTAGCCTCCCCCCCGCCCCCCTCGCTCCTCCCGCTCTATGGGCTATGTCCTGATTGGTCTACACCAGTCTTGTTAATGCCTTATATTCTGCCAGCGATTAGTCCAGAGGTGGGTCCTGACCCAGGTTTGATCAATCAGCAGCAAGGGTGAATGTACTGGAGGGTCCCACTTTCCACTAGCAACACAACAGAGCATCAGAGCGTCCTCTGTCTTTGATCTCATTTGCAAATGAATACGATGTCTGGTACGTCAGCACCTATCTTGTGACTGTGACGTTCCAAGCACAGGGTCAAAAGACCAACGTGCAGAGGATGGAGAAGAAGAAAGGCAGAAACCAGGCTGGGTTCTTGATGGCATCTGTGAGCCGTTGCCCCTTCCCTCGAACCTCATGATTCTGGACTTGCTGTAAGAATCATTATTCTAATGGCATGAGCCACCGTTGGTTGGATTGATTGCTATTTGCAGAGAAAGTTCTCTTAACCCTTTGATATTTACTCATGGTAAGCATGGAGGGCTCTTTCTTAACAGTCAAGGCTTTCCATTGCTTAACATTATTTTTAAAAGGAATGAATATCTACACTTGCTTCCAAGCCAATGCCTAAGATTCTCTCTCATCTCATGGCTAACACCACCCGGAGCGTGTGCATGCTCCTGAGAGAATACTCTAAGTGAGGGGAAGAAAGAAGGCAAGTAAACCTGCTTACATCGGACACCTTTTACCGTTTTCTAAAATCTTTCCTAACACTGAGAGAACCCCACGACATTCCCTTTAATGCTAAGAGCAGCTTTTGGATTGTTCAAAACAAGCTGCAGATCGACTTCTGTTACCAAACCCAACCCACTGCCATCAAGTAGGTTCCGACCCATAGGGGCAGGGTAGAACAGCTCGTGAGACTGTAACTCTCTATGGGAGTAGAAAGCCTTGTCTTTCTGCTATGGTGCAAAGGTAGTTTCGAACTCCTGACCTTGTGGTTAGCAGCCCAATGCACAACCCACCACAACACCAAGGCTCCTGTCTTCAGCTACAGCACAATGCCCATTCTTTCAGAGGCTTGGGAAACGCTTGGGAAACTCTTGTATCATTCTGTAACATGGAGTTTTTTTTTTAAAGGATAGGCTATTTAACTTTCATTTTATCAAGAAGAGCACCATCCTAAAACCACGACTGCTCTGATTTAATCAAAGGTTCTGTGGCGGAATCTTGCTCAAAAGGCGGGAATGTCAACGAGACTTTCAACTCCTCATGGAATTCAGACTTATGGGATCCATGAAGGCTGGATGACACCCTGAAGCCATTGCCCTGAGATCATCTTTAAATCGTAAACCCCGAATGTCCCTGGAAGTCGTCTTTAAGCGAACCGCAGTTTAACCTAATTAGGAAAGAATGTCCCCAGGAGACTTGTGCTGTTTTAAAGAACTCCATCTGTGGGATCCAAGTGACCAAGACAACTTGACGAAAGATTATCAGGGAACATTTGGAGGAACAATTGGGCAGAGGAAAGAGAATGTTGCACAACTTTCAGGACCTCATCAGGGCCCCTGAATTGAGCATGTAGAAGACACTGAATTGCTGTTTGTCCTGCTGAGTACATTAACAACATGTTTAAAAAGCAAGTAAGAAGAGTGGCAGGTCCCTCAACTGACCCCAGCCCCTGGAAACACCCCTGCCTCCAATGACTCCCGCCTCCCCTGCCTCCAGCTCCACCGGGTTCTTTGAAGTGCATGTGAGTGGACATGGGCATCCAACAAAATTTTGACCAGCCAGAGGGCCACAAAAGACCAGCGACGGCTCCGAGTCCCCCCGGAAAGCTCAGCAGCCCAGACACATGAGCGCCATAGCCGCTCTTGGATCAAGGACCTGTGGGTGGCCGAGGGAGGCTGTTTTGCTCAGCCACGGCCTCGCTGACAGCCTGGGTGGAGGGTGCTATTTTGATGGCCCTGAAGTTCAGGGACGGGAGAGTGTTTGTGGCCGCCCGAGGACTTGAAGACGCCTACCCATTGGAAGGCAGCGTGTCCCGGCAGTCAACTGTGGGATGCTCCCCTTTATGGGAACGGGGACGGTCAGGTCAGAGGTGGGTGACCAAGGATGGGATGACCGAGGACAGGGGACGTTCCCCAGTCCCTTTTGGCCAAACTGTGACTAGGACCCGGAGACACACTCACACAGGGCCCCAGGCAATGCCCTTCACCAACAGGTTTTAATACGAGATGAACGCACACACGTGGCCCTCTTGGCATGTTGATGCCCAGCAGACAGCTCCCAGCAGGGGTCGGTCTTCTCCGGGTTGTCATGGGACCCAGCAGGCTTCTCCCTCCTCCTCCAGGCCCCCACCCTCATGATGGGGCGAAAGCTTCGCGTCAACGGAGCCCTGGAGGTGGGTGCTGAAGCAGAGCTCCTGACCTTCTGTCCAAACCCATTCCCAGTTGACTTCCAGCTCTTACTTTGGGAAGACACAAACGCTGCCCACCTAGGGGCTCCCTCTAGTCCCCATCCTACAGCCGAGCAGCCAGGGAGGGGAGAACAGCGTGGCTTCCGGATTAACTGGTCCCACAGGAGGGCATGCCTGGTGTTTCCCTGCCCTTTGGATGTATGCTCACAATGGAAAGTTCTGGTGCCTCACAGAGAGATTGAGAGAGGAAATCAGAGCCCGATACTTCTTCTCCCGAGTCACCATCCAGCTGGCCACGGAGAGTCAGACAGGAAGCCCCAAACAGCTCAGGACCTCGCTGCTTCTGCAGGGGAGGGACCGGCTTTGTCTTGGGACTTGGACCTCACGTCTCTGACCCCAGCTCTGGGAGAAGCAGCGTTCTGAGGTTGGCCCCAGCATAATAAGCCCAGCTGTCCCCGTGGACACATCTGGATCCCCTGGCGCCCCAGACAGCAACTCTAGGGGAGGGACTGGTCAGGGCAGGAGCGCACGGCTCAAATTCAAATACACAGACACCTGCCAGAGCCAGGTCCTGGGGAGGCAGGCCGTGGGGGTGGGGGGCCGGCAGACAAAGATGCTGTTTGGGGCATTTCTCTGACCCAAGGAAATGACGCTGAGGCCTCGCCCAGTCCACTGCAGTGTCAAAGGGGAAAGCCCTGGGGCCAGGGCTGTGGAGAACAGAGGACTGGCACACGGTGGGGGTGGGCCGCCTACGCAAGCAAGGGCTCCCTGGTTCTGGGCCCACCTGCAGCTACAGAGATGACTTGTCGCCGAGGGACGGCACGGCCAGCCCATTCTGGCTACTCCCAAAGGGCTCCTTTACCCATCTGGAGCCTGTTACCAACCTGCCCCACTCCCACCCCGCTCCCCTGGCACACGCATACAGAGCAGACCCACCAAGCCGGCGCCGCCCCTTCCTCGGTGGGTCTCAATGGTTAATGGGCAAATGGAGTCACGACACAAAGCCCTGTTGGTCCAGGTCAAAGTCTCCGGTTCTTGGTGGCAGCCCCGACAGTTGGTGCCCCAACTGGGTCCCACCAGCTCTCTGCACGACGCAGCCTCCAAGACCAGTTCAACCCCCTAGCAGTCACTACTCTTGGGAGCCAGAATGTGACCTGGGGACTCCCGGGCCATGCTTCCCCCGGCCGACCATCTCCTGGCCCCACTCCAGGTGGCTGGATTCCTGCAGTCCACGGCCTTTGGTCTCGATGGGCAGGAGGCAGGAAGCCACTGCCGCCAGGAGGCAGCAGGTGCTATAGACCGCCAGCGTCAGGTACACGGAGGACTCCAGCATCACCTGAGGAAGGAGGAGGACACAGGTGAGAGCGAGCATCCCTTCTGAACCAGAGGCTCCACCTGCCCTCTCAGAGATGCTCAGTAGTCTCTGAGCACCCTCCAGGCAGGCACCTTCTTCTCATGTTACAGAGGGGAGACCCCTCGGGTACGGGCATACCCCTGACTGGCCACTTTATGTGTGCCCACTTGACTAGGCTGTGATGCTCAGGGGTTTGGCCAGACCCTGGACTGGTTGCTATTTTAAAGTGGGGTGGGGTGGCATGGATTAGAATGGCTTGCCATGATGCGATCAACCAATCAGCAGGAAGGGGCGTGGCCTTAGGGGAGTGGCCTGTCTCCAGACTATAACTAGGTACTCTGGCAGCTCTTTCTGTCTCCAGCGCTTTACCCTCTGCATTGCCCACATCACTTGGCTTAAAAGGTCTGCAGATGGGGGACTTGGCAGCTGCCATAGCTTTTCAGTCATTTCCTTGAAGTCAGTTGTTCTCCCTCTTTCCAAACCCATTGTCCTCAAGTAGAGTCTGACGCACAGCAAGCCATCCTACGAGACAGAGCAGGGGACCCACCACCCAGGGCTTTCTAAGCTGTCAGCTTTATAGAAGCAGAATGCCCGTCCTTCTGCTGGGGGGTCGGTTCAAACCACCAACCTTCCAGCTACCTGCCAAGTGCTTACCCACTGAGCCACCAGGGCACTGCATACAAACACCTATGTGTGCATGTACACCTATGTGTGCACACGGACATACATGTACGTATGTATAAGTGTGTACATATACAGAGATCGTTTCTAGAAGGTGGTGGAACGTTGGAATGGAAAGATATGTATGTCTTACTGTTTGTTTCTCTGGAGAGCTCCGACTTAGACCATGCCCAAGTTCCTAGAGGTGGTAAGGTTGGGGCTTGGATTCGAACCCTAGGCCCCTCAGGCTGCAGAGTGCTTGGGACTAGACTCTGTCCCAGGGCACCCCCTCCCACAGCAGAGTCTCTCGTCCGGGGTGCTTGGTGGGCATTCAGCCGTAGCTAACAGCCGAGCCGCCTTTAACTCATGGCATGTGCTCTGGAGGGAGGGCTGGGTCTTGGGAAGGAGATGGCCAGAACTTTCTTCTCAGGAGCCGCCGAGTGGACTTGACCTTGCCAACCTTTCTGCGAGCAGCTGTGTGTGTCAACTGTTTGCACCACGTGCGGGGCTCCATGAGGGCAGCACCCCTTATTAATGACAGGAGACCTGGGCAGCACTTGACACCATGCAGGCACCCAAAGAGCTCTCCAATGATCTTAGTCGGTGGTGGCTCACAATGTCCTAGCACACGCATGGCAGGAAAAGGTGGCTCAAGAGATGGCTGATATGTAAGCTTGCACTCAACTCCCTGCCATCAAGTTGATGCTGACTTACAGCAACCCTATAGGACAGGGAAGAGCTGCACCTGGGGGTTTCTGAGACTATAACTCGTTACAGGAGTGGCTGGTGGTTTTGAACTGCTGACCTTGGGCTTAGCAGCCCAACACGTTACCCCTACGCTCCTCAGAAAGCAATCAGATGGGACAATAATCCCTCTAAAAATGGAGGTGCTCACCAATGGATGGATGGAGAAACATGGTGTGCGGCATGCACTGCGGTAGTTACATCGTCTGTTGTCAATTTGAGACTTACGAGTGAAGGGGTGGAGTTTGGCCTGTCAATCAGGTCATAGCTTGATGACCTCATTTGGAGGTGCTGAGGCAGCAGTTCTCAACCTGTGGGTCTCAACCCCTTTGGGGGGTGTCAAACGACCCTTTCACAGGGGTCATCCAATTCATAACAGTAGCGAAAGTACAGTGATGAAGTAGCAACGAAAATAATGTTATGGTTGGAGGGTCACCACCACATGAGGAGCTGTATGAAAGGGTCACGGCATTAGGAAGGTCGAGAACCACTGCACTAAGGAGATAAATAGCTCATTGGAAACGGGATACACGGCTTACTACCTGAGAGAATGCACCTGACAAGACACCTGGAGCTATGTTAGTGCCCTGAGCTGGAAGAACCACGTGGAGGCTCCTGCCAGCGCTGAGATGCTTCCACTGTCACTGGATCCACAAGACTTCCCACCCACTTGCCGGTGATCCTCCTGAATTTGGTGTCATTGCATGTGTTTCGTGAGTCTGAAGAGGACTTTATAGATTGGTATCAGACATATGGGCTAATATCGGATTTATGGACTTGATCTGGACTGGGCTGGGATGTTTTCTTCATGTACAATTACTCTGTATATTAAGCTCTTTGTTATACACATAGAGTCTCCCTGGATTTGTTTCTCCAGTCCACCAGGACTAACACATACAACAGACTATTCGTTTGAATGATAAAGGGAGACGCGTGCAGGCGTGGTAAAGCCTGTGGAAGCGAGCACCTATGTCAGGGAACAGCCTGGCAGAGAAAGGAAGGGCAAATCGCTCCCATGGGAACGGAAGCGTGAGAGGGGAAAAGAGGGTGAGAGACAAGTGGCGAGACAGACCCCTTGTCCAAGGAGGAAGTCTCCCCACCCTTGGAAGAGCGAGGCCGTCCTGCTGCGTCCTGGCCCTCGTGGGAAGCGCTTTGCGGCACGTCCTATGATCCGACGGCCCTGGGAAGGAGGGTGCTGAGTACAGCCAGTCAGGGCTGGTGGTTGGTTCTGACAGCCAACAGAACCACGTACTGTCCGTCCTGCACCGTCCTCACAATGGTGGCTGTCTTTGAGCCCACGGTTGCAGCCACTGTCTTCGTCCATCTCATTGAGGGTCTTCTTCTTCCTCCTCTTCCTCCTCCTTCTTTTTTGCTGACCCTGGACCTTACCAGGCATGATATCCTTCTCCAGGATCATATGTCTCTCCTGATCATATGTCCAAAGTATGTGAGACAAAGTCTCGCCATGCTCGCTTCTAAGGAGGCTTCTGGCTGTGCTTCTGGATGGGCCTGGGCACATTCTGTATGATCCACTCGTATGAAATCACCTGGGCTAGGCAGAAGCGTAGAGCCGATGGCTATTGGTGATCACATGGGCCGAGGAAGGAGGCAACGGGGAGCGAGTTAGGCTGCAGGGGTGTTGCGTGTCTGTGGGAAGGGGTGGGGGGAGCGTGAAAAGGCCCAGGAGTCACAGCTGCACAGCATGGCGGCCATGAGCCATGTCACTGAACGGCATCCTTCAAAAAGGTTAAAGTGGGACACCTTTCCGCGCCCCCCCCCCCAAAAGCTAGAAATAGTCCCAAGGCACACACGTGGAGAGGTGCAATAATTCTGGACAACACCTCATTATCCAACCTGCAGAAGGAGGGGCTGATTGGGGTGTTTGTCTCTCCTATATCGTGGTGGCCCGCTGGCTGCCACTTAAAAATCTCTTTGGCCAAATCATCCCAAGTCCACGGGGTTTTCTGCTCAGGAAAGCCCTGGCTGTGGCCGCACATCCACCCTCCTTTCTCTCCGTGTGGCCACAGGCAAGTTCAAGTTCCTGTCCTCAGGAGAGCCTCTTTTCTCATCCCCACACCAGGTTTCTTCTGTCTGGGGTAGCTTGTTAAGATACGATAGGCCCCCGACCCCCGAGCAATCTGCAGGAGGCTCAGCCCATGGAAGTTACTTTGGGGTGGCACCCACCTGAGCAATGAATGGTGTAATGAGAGCACCCACTCTTGCCATGCCACTGCAGGAGCCCAGGCCCAGTGCCCGCGTCGCTGTGGGGTAGACCTGCAACACAGGGAGGGCTCAGGTGAGGAATTCTGCAGACCCAGGGACCTCCTTCCTGCCCAGCTCCGGCCTGATAGGACAGTCCCTCCACCCCCACGCCTGGGGAGTCCTGAAGTTAGGATGACCCACCAAAAGGCGGGGGAGTACTTATCCCTAAACCAAAAGAACAAGCTCACTGCCATCGAGGCGATTCTGACTCACAGCGGCCCTATCGGCCAAGACAGAACTGCCTCTGTGAGTTCTGAGGCTGGCTGGAACTGTTTACGTGAGCAGAAAATCACATCCACCTTTCTTCCATTTAACCTGAAGCGGCTAAGAATTTGACTGAGAAAGGGCAAGAGGCTGGCTGGTGGGAGGGGACCCAGTAGTCCTAGGGGCCTCCTGGCCCTGCGTGGTGGGTCCCAAAGACCCCTCCCCTAGGAATTGCCCCACCAGAGCTAGGATGCTAACCTCTGCCCTGCTACTCCTCCCCCACTGTAAAGGTAGGCGCTACTCTCTCTTTAGCTGGGGCCTCAGCCCTGCCCCACCCCGCTCTGCTCAGTTACCCAGCTGCCCTGCGAAGACGCAGTGACATCGACTGCCACTGGCACAGAAAGACCGGCAGTCGAGACACTGCACTATTCTATTCTCCAAGGTTATCCCTGGGCCGCAGGGGAAGCGAGGTACTTTCCTTTTTTGGCTGGAGTAGTGGTGTAACCTTGGGGTTTCGGCCCAAGGGGGCGGGTATTTTCATCGGAGGAGACAAAAGACTGGAAGTTGAGTGGACAACCACTGGGCCCCAAGGACCAAGTACATTTCCTCCCAGGAGCCCCGTGGGGCGTTTCTGCAGGGCCCCCTCACCTCCGTACTGGACCTACTGCCTACCTCAGGTGTGTAAACGTAGGCCGCCTGGAAGCCCCCGGAAATAAACGCTCTTGCGATGAACAGGAACATGGTGAGCAGGCTCCTAGGGGCCGGGCAGAGAAGACACAGGTGAGCTGGGGTGTGTCTCTGATCTTGTTCCTGTGGCCGCCCCCAGCAGGATGCACCCCAGCGCCACCCCCAAAGCATGACCAGGGGGACCCGTGGACCGTTGGAAGCTGCCCAGGCTGGAGCTAAGGTGGGCAGGAGGTTTGAGGGCAGGGATTGAGCCGGAGCCACCCGAGGGCGGGGAGAGCCAGCTTCCAGCCGGCCGGTGGAGGATGGTCCCCAGAATGGTTATTGGTGATCACACAGGCCGAGAAAGGAGGCAATGGGGAGCAAGTTAGGCTGCAGGGGTGTTGCGTGTCTGTGGGAAGGGGTGGGGGGAGCGTGAAAATGCCCAGGAGTCACAGCTGCGCAGCATGGCGGCCATGAGCCATGTCACTGAACGGCACCCTTCAAAAGGGTTAAAGTGGGACACCTTTTGTTATATATATTTTACCACGATACATTTCCCCCCCCCCAAAGCTAGAAATAGTCCCAGCCTCCAGGCCAGCATGTCCCACCAGGGGCGACAGCGCCCCTGCCAGTGGAGCGCCAAGTGGACTGCCATGGTTAGTGAGCCTGTGTGCTAACGCTTCACGGGAGTAGAAGGCTTCTTCTTCCTCCTGCAGAGCCGCTGGTGGTTTCAAACCGCTGACCTTGCAGTTGGCAACCCAGCTGCACAACCAGGGGCTCCTGGAGGGATCAGTGAGGGGAGGGATGGGGAAGGGCTGCAAAAGCAGAGGCTTACATGTTATCTTGAATAATGAGCTATAGGGCTAAGGAAAGGTGTTAATGGCCAGGGGGAGGATGCTGAGTACGATTTGTTTGTTAATCTGAAAAGGGGGTGGTAGGATTTGGAAACTAGGACCCAGGCTCTAGGTCAGGGACCAGGCTCTGATTAGGTTTAGCCTGGAGCCCCTCAGAGTGCAGGCCAAGCAGCAACCCCCTCCCTGTTTTGAGGATGGAAAAGACGGACAACATCCCCAAACAGGGTGATGGAATAGGGTCTGCCTTCAATACGTTTGCTGAGCCAAGGAACACTTGCGCGCATACAGAAACAACGCAGTCATGTGGCTGGTCTCAGGGAGATGATGACATGAGTTTAAATTTGATGTAGTTGGATCGAGACCTAAGTCAAGCCCCCCAATTCCCTTCCTCCTCCCCACCGCCACCCTACCAGAACCTCCAACCCAAACCTGATTTTCTGGACCTTTGGGAGGTAGCTGGGGGATAAGCTCAAAGTTCTACCAAGTGGTTTGTGAAGAAGAGGGGAGATCCCCTCACCCAGATGGAGCCCTGGCCATAGCCCAAGGGACCCACCCTGGGGCCAGAGAGACCCACCTTCCGACACAGATGAAGAGCAGGAGGCTGCAGAGGAAGAAGATGGCGAAACACAGGGCCATGGTCTTCTTGCGGCCCAGCCGGTCGATGATCCACAGAGTCACGAGGACACCTGGAAGGGGGCCGGGTGCATTGTGGGAGGCAGCTTCTGGCTCCCCAACAACCCCGCCTCCTGGGCTTCATACCTCACACAATCCCTCCCCTCTGAGGGGGATGCTGGACCTAGTGGCTCACACCCCTGCGCTAGAATAGCGCCAAGGCAATCAGATGCCACTTCTGAGACGAGGCTTTGTCTTGCTGATGCCCACCTCCTCTGGTTCTTCCAAAGTGCTTGGTCAAGTGGAGGCGGCCACCTGGCAGAGAACAGTGGGTGGCCTCTTGCCCACAGCCAGTGGAGACCTGAGGCCCGCAGCCCTACAACCCTCAGAGAAGGTGTGTGAGTTGTGGAAGTGCATCCCACCCCAGTCGAGACCTTCAATGCAGAGGCCAACAGCTCAAAGTTAGAGCTGTGAAGACATGCTGTCTCAGAGGTCCTAGGTAAGCCACCTCCACGTACCTGGCCCACAGCTTCAAGCTGTTAACTGTTGGACTGACTAGTGATGCAAAACTGAATAATAACCTAGCAGGCACCCGTGGGCCTGAAGAGTGGCATTCATAAAGTGTAGCTGAGATATCTGAACTTGAAGTGACACAGTCGGGTTCTAAGGCTCCGTCTCATCTCTAACTTTCTGTGTGGCCTCAGGCTAGTTTTGGCCTTCTCTGAGCCTCTCTTTCTTCATATGTAAAATGGGCATCAACCAAAATAACTCCCTGTCTCAGTAGAAGCAGTATAAATCCGAAATCCACGACCACGGAGTCAATTCTGATTTCTAGAAGCCCTAGGGGACAGAGTGGAACTGTTCCTCAGACTGCCTGAGACGAAATCTTCCTGGGAGCAGAACCGCTGACCTGGCAGTTGGCAGCCCATTGCCTACTTTACAGCACCACCAGGTGTCCTGATTCAGCATAGTGCTTGTTAGTAATCACAGTGAAAAATTTAGGCGAAGCACTCAAAACCAAGTCCATTGTCACCAAGCGGATCCCGACTCGGACTGACCCTCTAGGACAGAGGGGACCGGTCCCTGTGGGGTTCCAAGACAGCAGACGCCACAGGAGCAGACCCCCACATCTTTGGCCCCCTAAGCAGCAGCAAACAGAGTCAAGCTCTCAGCTTCTTCAGTTTCTGAAAACTTGTAGCTAAAGAAGCCTGTACCATCGACTGCCAGAAGAACAAACATCTGTCCGGGAGGAAGTACAGCCAACTTGCTCCTTAGAGGAAACGATGGCGAGACTTTCTCACGTATTTTGGACACATTACTGGGAGAGACCAGGCCCTGCAGGGGGACATCATGCGGGCCAAGCAGAGGGGCAGTGACAAAGAGGAAAACCCTGGACGAGATGGAGGGACACCGTGGCTGCAACCATGGGTTCAGACGTAAGAACGATTGTGAGGACGGCGCAGGACCGGCCAGTGTTTCGCTCCGTTGGCCGAACTCATAGTTGTTATGAGTCTGAACCGACTTGATGGCCCCAAGCCACAAAGAAACAAAAGCCCTGCTCCCCTAGAAAGAGCATTTGTCTCCAAGCAGTATCCACCTGCCCCATGGCATCGCTGGCCCAGACCCGCTTGTTACACCGTCTCCTTACCTGGGAACTCCGAGAGGGTGGTCCACAGCAGGTCCATGTAGTCATCCTCATTCAGGTACTCACAGGCCAGACTGCATTTGGCTTCCACTTTCCTCTTCTGGTTGGAGACTTGGGGGCGAGGGTTGGGGGTGGAGAGAGAGAAAGAGAGAGAGTGCGCGGGAGCAAGCTATGGACCTGGCCTTGGAAAGCACCTTCCCTCCCCCCCACACCTCCTTCTCTCTGCATGAAGCCACCTGGGCTGCCACCTCTAGTCATGGCAAGGACCCAGGTTTGGAGTCAGACAGACTCTGCTTTGAATCGCAGCCAGGACTTATACAACGTCATTTCTCTCAGCCTCTGGTGGTGGTGGTGGTGTGTGTTAGTCTAGGTACTTTAGAGAAACAAATCCACAGAGACTCACGTATAGGAGAGCGTTTTATGTAAAGGTTAAGTGTGCATCAAGAAAACATCCCAACCCAGTGCTGCCCAAGCCCACAAGTCCAACATTAACC